CGACAGCTTCGAATATGACGACCGATCGTCGTCGTGAACAAACGTGTCGATACCGCGTCGGTGTAACGTCGGTATAGCAGGGAGGTATTGGGTGAAAGTTGCGTCAAATAATGTATTCAAATAATGAAATTGAGAATAATATTAAGTTCTTCGTAATTCATAAATGAGAAATTTGTTGTTATACCAATTAGTTGTTGTTTAGATCAAGTACATCGTATTTATTTTATGTCCTCGAAAAGGAAAAAGAATAAATTCACGAAAATTAATTTTGTCAACTATTCTAACGAAGCAACCGAATAAATTCACGTTTCGAAACGAATAAGAACCTTGTCTACGGAATAAGATAGATCTGGAATGGAATATCTAATGCAGTATCTCATTAAAGTGGAATAAATCAATAGCTGCGTACGTTTAATTTTAAAAATACAGAAACACCTTAAATAAAACTTACCCATTGATTTATGGAGAAACTAGCTGCGATAAAAAATATTTGTGTCACCGGGTAGATCCACCGATCAGAGCATCAACAGCTGATGTCCTGGCAGGATCAATATCCCTCAATTTATTTCACTGTCTGGAATGGAATATGGTATGGGTATCAAATGAACAAATAAAGTTATTAATATAAATACTGAATAATAGAAATTAACACTTATAACTTTTAAATAAACTTTTATATTTATAATTAAGAAAGACTTAGGAAAGACCACTTAAATAACTTGATATATTACGAGGTGTGACACAAAAGTAACGAGACTAGGTCTATAGCTTGAAAAAACAATGGAATTGGCAGCAATTGTTTTTGTGACATCATCCCACATACCTCCTCTATCTATGTTGCCAATTTCGATTGAGGCGGTCATACTATTTGGAAGTATTGCGTTATTTAGTGAACACGTGCAACTGCATTCTGCCGGAAAAATGTCTAACGTAAAAATCGAACAGCATATAAACATCAAGTTTTTTTGTAAAATTTGTTGAAATCTTTTGTAACATGTGATAAGACATGAATTTTTACCTATGACCCAGAATGTAAGCGCCAGTCAATGGAGTGGAAGTCTCCAGGATCCTCAAAACCCAAAAAAGCACACATGTCAAAATCAAAATTCGACACTAATGGAATTGTAATGATTGAGTGGTTTGCCAGTGATCAGACTGTTAACGAACGCTATTACATTAAAGTTCTAAATAGATTTAGTGACAAAATTTGGAAAGAAAGGCCACGGTTATGAAGCGATGGATGGCCGTTGCACCAGGACAATACATCCGCTCACAGGGCACTGTCTGCCAAGTAGTTTCTAACCAATCAAAATATTACAGTGTTGGGGCATCCTCCTTATTCACCTAATTTGGCTCTATGCGAGTTTTTTTTATTTCTTAAAGTTAAATTTTGCTTAGTGGGAACCCATTTCACTTCAGTTGAAGAGGTTCAGGCAGAAACAGAGAATCTCCCAAAAGGACCTCCAAAAACCTCGTTCCAGAACTATTACCAGCAATGGCAGCACCGAATGCAAAAGTGTGTGAATGCTGAAGGGGGACTACTTTGAAGGTAATAATGTCACAGAGAACTGATTCTCAGAGACAATGATTTATTGGACTAGTCTCGTTTTGTATTGTGTCGCACCTCGTATGATGAGGCATCTCCCTATTCGGATTAAACTTATTCTTCTGGACATATTTAACGAATTCTTTATTGAGCATATTGTTCCTGAAGATTGAAAAATAGTTCAAGTTTTATTCATTCCCAAAGCAGATGGTGGAAGTTTTAGGCCTATTACCCTTTCCTTGTGTCTTTGTAAGCTTTTTGAAAGATTAATCAAGAATAGACTTCTTTGGTGGTGTGAGCATTTTGGCTTGCTGCATCCTACTCAGTCTGGATTCAGGAGGGGTCGTTCTTGAATGGACAACATTGGCAGTGTGATTTTTCAGGCTGAGGAAAGTCTAAGATCTGGTAAATGTACGATAGCTGCCTTTTCGGATGTTAGGGGGGCACTGAATGAAACATTTCACTCATTCTACTTTCCTCTGTCGGTAAATTAGGAAATGATACTTGTATGAGAAAAATATTAAAAGTAGAACTAGTCATAATTTTGAAAAAGTTTAATTTTTCACTTATTTTGATTGGTATCAATTAATTTTACTATAACGTCGACGAAGATTTGAAATGTATTCATGCCTTTTTGTGATAAAATTATGTAGTTACAATATGGTTAAAAGTTCGGAACACATTTATTTTAATAATTGTATAAATCTTTTCTTCTTCATAAATTAACTATTTGTTAGAAGATTTTTTGTTACGTCATTAGATATATTAAAATCATAACGCTAATTACTTTTTCAGTTTCAATATTTTATTTGAAACAACAATGTGATTCATTTGTTTGAAAGATTCATTCTTTTTAACCGACTTCGAAAAAGGAGGAGGTTACTCAATTCGATCAGTATATTTTTTTTT